CACAGGAGGAAACTGTAACACAGTGCTTGTGGCAAACATATATGGTGAAGCGGCACAAATTGAGGAGACGGTGAGATGTTTTTTTTTTAAATAATATATCCAAGTCTAAAAAATATATATAAGTCTAAAAAACTCTTGGTTCTCTTGGCAGCTTTCAACTCTTCGCTTTGCCACCAGAATGAAATGTGTGCAGACAAAGCCGTCAATCAATGAACATGTCGACCCAGTGGTAAGATTTTATGTGTATTACAAAACGAATACTCTGATCATCTAATAATAATATCTAAGAAAGATGCATGCGCACATTCAATTAATGCATAACAGTTCAATGCAGAAAACTGTGACTGTTTATCAGCTCCAGGTGCGAAGACTAGAGAAAGAAATCCAATTTCTTAAGGAGGAGCTGTCAATGTGTAACACACTGGTGAGTCTGTGTGCTGAAAATCTGATGCTTTTCACACAGCACAATTATCCCAACTACCAAGTTCTGGTTTCCCAAGCTATGACACTTTGGCTTCTATTTTGATGTCCTCCTTACTTGTAGACTAATCGGGTTGGAGTTTCTAATGAAATCCTGTCAGAGACACAGGTGGAGGAAGTGAGGACTCAGGTGCAGAGATACCTGTCTGGATTACTGGATGAGATCCCGGTAAACACCATAGTTTATACCTCAATTCTTCAAATATTTAAGTCCACATTTTCATAAATCAATCTTACATTATTAGAACTGAATAAATGATTGAATCTTTCAGATTGTGAGCATTACACAAATTCAAGAGGTGTTTGCCCAGTTCAAAAAAGTGGTGTTGTAAGTACAGTTACCTATTCTTCAACAATTTAACAATACTTAAAATGGAAGTCAATACAGTACTGTAATGTTCGAATGCGTATTAAATAGGGAGCAGCAAAAGAAATTGCGAGAGCAGCTCGGTCCGCGAAACACTCGCGTAGAGAAAGCCATGAACACAACACCATCTACTGTTGCAGAGGTTAGCCGTATATAGATATTTGGTGGACAACAATACTTTAGTGAAAACTGAAAAGGTAGAAACTGATGTCTCGTGCCTCATTAACTGTGCTATAGGTGCAGGGGTCTGTAGGTGCTGTTGGAGAGGTGGAGAGTTGTGGATATGGCCTTGGTTTAGCTAAATCTTCACAGAAACATCAGCGAACTGTGTCGCCAAAACCAAGTAAAGCAAGAAAAGACAAACAGATCAGCAGGTGACAATCTCTTTCCCTAATGTGCGAGACAGGATGTGAAAAATTTACTAAGTATTCATGTTTAAATCTAGATATTCAATGTAACATTTTAAAATGTAAGGCAGCATCATACACTTGCTGACTCTAAATATTTACGGAGAAGAACTGCTCACCATACACTACACGACTGAGGATCATGCACAACCAGAGTCATTCCGAACACAACAAACTCACACAGAAACAGGCACTTCATTGCTAGGAGATGCATGATAAATGAACACAAAATGTTCTAAAATCAGTTTAAAACATCAAACATGTTTTATATCATAGTCTGAAGCTAAAGAATCAGAGTCTGTGCCCATCAAACACCGCATGTTTGTCTGTGAAATTGTCTCTGGCTATAGGCAAAATTCAAAACTCTGGCTATAGGCAAAATCTGCGGGCTGGCTCAGACTCTCAACAACTAGCATTGACTCATCCAGACTGCAAACAGGGGCAAAAATCTGGGCAAAAGTTGTGAGTTTGCCAGCCTTTAGTTTGCAATGATCTCTGTCAATAAACATGATGAAATCTCTGTGATATAGAAGATAGTGTGATGCAATTGTGTCCATCTACCCACTCATTTCAGTGACAATTTTCTGGGAATGTAAATATTTGTACTTAATTAAAAACAATAAACCAGCGAAGAGCATACATGACAATCATTATATTTGAGAAATTTAAATGTTTAAAATTATCTTGTTCTAAAAATAATTTCAACTAAGTAAAAGGCAATAATAGTAAACCATGGTTATCCAACAATGCCTCCATCCATGTATATTAGTAAAAATCACTGGAGCATTTGGAGTAAAGAAAAACTAACCAGATTTTGACTACAAGACTGTGAATTATGGTACTTCGAATCTTATATTGAACAGAAAGGAAGGAGCAGCGAGTCAACCGCCAGTGGAAAATACAACTGTGCAAGCAGAACAGCCTCTAAACCTGAGTGAATCCGACATGACCACACACGAACCCCAACAACAAGCTCCAGAACAACACAGAACTGAGTACGTACTTCTTTACACTAGCAGAGCCGGTGAGCTTGAGGCGACCTCTGCTGACGGTACCAAGTACTGCTGCTAATGCCTGTAGACTATGAAAATAAATGTCGAATTTAATGTATTTCTCAGCTCTCCTCCACCCAAAGCTGAGGCATTTGAGGATTTCAAGGCAGAACGAGGAAGTGAGATCAACCGCATACTAAAGGAGAACAAGGCTGTGCTGTCGGAGCGCACGACACAATTACGCATACTCACCGATGTCATCAATGCCACTAAACGGGATCTTGACTACATTACATATGAGCTGCGACAATTCAGAGAGCGAAAACAAAGCCAGGGTAAATATTACACGATGTATGTGAATCTACATTGATCTGCCTACAGTAGGGAAGTGTAGCTCATTTCTGATAGTTATCATATGGAACTGAAGGCTGTTGGTTTCATAGGTCAATTTGTGAGTGCGGAGGGGGAGCCTGTGCTGGAGGAGGCTGAGCTATCTCTAGTGATGCAGCTGAAAGAGCTGGGCAGAACGAGGAAGTGAGATAAACCGCATACTAAAGGAGAACAAGGCTGTGCTGTCGGAGCGCACGACACAATTACGCATACTCACCGATGTCATCAATGCCACTAAACGGGATCTTGACTACATTACATATGAGCTGCGACAATTCAGAGAGCGAAAACAAAGCCAGGGTAAATATTACACGATGTATGTGAATCTACATTGATTTGCCTACAGTAGGGAAGTGTAGCTCCTTTCTGATAGTTATCTCATGGAACTGAAGGCTGTTGGTTTCATAGGTCAATTTGTGAGTGCGGAGGGGCAGCCTGTGCTGGAGGAGGCTGAGCTATCTCTAGTGATACAGCTGAAAGAGCTGAAGAACCGTTATAGACAAGCCTACGAGGATTTCAGAAGCACAAAGACAGAAGTCAGCTACTGTCAGCACCTGGTGAATCAGTGCCGCACACGGCTGCTAACAGGTGGGTTCCCCTGGTTCTCCACACAGCATATTGTTATAGTCTCTCCATGGTTCTCAGGCTTGTTTTTGATGAGAAATTAAATAACTTCACCGGTTCAGATAACTACAATTGTAATATATAGTCATTGTCAACATTTTGTGTAACAAAAACACATTTACTTACCTAATCTATACAAATATAATCATAGTTGTATTTACTGCACCTCACTGTTATACACAAGCTCTTTCTCTAATGCCATTAATATGTTTGTTTTGTGTTTGCCAGCGTTTGAGAGATGGTACAACCAGTCTTTCTTGTTTCCGGATGAGGTGTTGTCAGTCTTAGAGACAGGACCAGTTCGACCAGGTCACATACCTGTGGACAAAGCTTTAACACTGGTCAGTAACATTCAGGGTTGCCAGGTTTTCACAACAGGTTTCCATTTTCCCTGGAAAAATTCGCATTCCAGGGGCTAAATATCACGTCACTGAGGTCGCTTCAACCAGCGGCAACACTGTTAAAGTAGCCCATTTCCTTGGCAACACTGGTAACATTCCCACATGTGCTCATGTTTGATAAAAAGAAATGTTTCTCAGCATATTAGAAGGATTTCAGAAGGATCATGTGACAATAAAGACTGAAGTAGAGGCTGCTGAAAATTCAGCCTTAAATTACATTTTGAAACATTAAAACCGAAAATAGTTATTTTAAACTAATATTTCAAAATATTCCCCCCCAAAAAAATGCCAATAAATGGATTAAACATACAGTAAAACGGTAACATTTTGAAATATTGGTGAACATGAGACTTTTTTCAAAAACATTACAAAATCTTACAGATCTCAAACTTTTGAACTGTAATGGATATACTATCTATTAAAGGGCACCACTACTTTTTATATATATATATTTTTTATAATTCTTGCATTTTCTTTTAAACAGTTTTGTAACCCATTTTAATGTCAAGGAGTGGAGATCTTAGTCTGCATCGTACCACTAGATCAGAACATCTCAGGAAAGGTTTTACATGTTTGTTGGAAACAATGTAATGAGCAGAAACTATTCAAAGTTTGATCATGTGAGAGACTTGTTCCAGTGTGCTTGTGTCAGATGTTGTATTATTGGACAGATGGATGATGAAGAGCAAAGTGATGGTCTCCTTCACAAGCTGCATGCAGACAGTACTGTGTCATTTTACAATGCCTATAACAGGACTCTAAAGAGGGTAAGACATTTACACACACCGATACTAGCTTTCATTATTCAGCACTCAAATGATGCTGAATGCTATGCTACATTTATTTAACTATATAATGAAGGTGTCTTTCATTTACAGAGGGGAAGCAGACAGGTGTCTCGAAGTCCAGAGTCTGTGAGGGGCAGCAGGAGTAAAACAAAACTCCCTATTCTCTCAGTCATCTGATGCAGGTCTCCGTATGCTCAGTCTCCAGAGTGCTTGACACTTCCTGAAGAATATTTCCATGAACGTGTGAAATCAGCAGGACATATGAACACATCTGCTATCTGAAATCTGCTTGTGCTGTATCATGTGCTAATCTATCCTTAAACTTGTAATTGATATTGTTCAAATGTAAAGACAATCTGTCTTAAAAATGTTGCAATTTTTCAGTTTCTGAAAATAACATACTGTGTATTTTTAACTGTACATTATTATTGTTAGTTCTTTGTTAGAAATGTTTTTAAATATCAGTTTACACTTTACAATATATTTTCCACTTTGAGAAAACCATAGTTCGCTCTAAATAGAGGCAAGAACAACCTCAATACATCAGGTTGTTAAATGAAAAGTAAACTTTATTATTCCTGAACCACAAAATAGACTTCTTTGGTTGTACAAATTCACTAGTTACAGTCCTGAATGAGCTCTATCCCCAGACCTTTAGTCCCACCCTCCCCTTTAGCAAAAAACAAAACAAAACAAAAAAAAATCCTCCCCAACAAGAAACCAAGACAAGAAAACAATATGAGAGATCAAACTCTTTTGCTTTGAAAAAGTAAAAATGTAGTGAATCCCATTATCCCAGTGGTTACAGAAAACCAACTTCTTTTTTCTCAAACTACAATTTTTTAAAAATACAATGATGAGCAATCCCAAACTGTTATTAACCAAAACTGAATTTCAGTCGATGAGAGCAACACAAAAGCTAAGATTAGTAAATTAAAAAAAAAAGTTCATATGTTTGACAGGTTCATCGGGACACAGTGTTGATGGCAGCTAGGGTGGTGAACAACTGATTTGAGAACAGTGAAATAAAACTGTTTATTTGAAGGAATAATAAAAGTCTATCATATTAGTCCTCACACAGGATTGACAGTAAAATTGCAAAATTGCAATAAGCCAATATACAAACACAGGGATCAGTCAGTCAAGACCCTGGTAGAATCATCTATACCCTCCAGACTTTAGTTTGTGGTCTTGGGGCAGAAAGGCTCAGATTCAACTCTGATTTTTGCTTCTTTTTTAGCATTTATACATTATTCACACAATGAGCTTTTCAGTGGCTTTAGAAGTTCAACTATTTAAAGTGTAGATTATAAAACATCTACTACCTTCACACACGTCAGAATAAGAGAAGGAAAAGATATGAGCAAGATTCGTAGATGTCAATAGAGATCAAATGTTTTCAGATGTTTCGATTTCCTCCTCCCACTCCCAAAATGGTACCACATGTCTATGGAGAGGTAAAGTGAGGTCTGGCGAATGATGGGCTGTTAAAGAGTGAATTCTCCACTCTGGTCACTCAGTGTAGCAAAGGGAATGATTCAATGCATACATGGCCCAGAACAAGAAGCAGAAATAAAAATGGAGGATGTTTTAGTGTCCTTGAGGAAGAGGATCACCAAAGGAACACAAATCGTCTGAAACCATTATCCACTTCATTTTACTCTCCTAGTCCAATAAAGGAAGACTAGAAATCAATTAAAAGGTTTAGAATGACGCTACTCAATACAGTAGGTCAGACTTTATGATATGGCATGACCATACATATTACCAAAATGTTTATAACAGATCTTTAAATAAGGTCAGATGCAACCTTTCACAAATATTATTCATTTGCATCACCTTAAAAAAAGAGATTGTTTTGAAACTGATATGGATATAAAATGGAAATAAAGCTTTACGCCAAGGCCTCATTTTCAATTTTAAAATGTTGCGTGCAAGAAAATTTATCCCAAAACCAAAAATCGTCACAAATTCACAAGTAATCACCTTATACATGTGTCAAAAAGCCTCAATTTGTTCCTCTATTGTATTGTAATCCCACAGATTAAAAACAGTATATTACATTAATAAATTACATTTAAAGGAATAAAAACTTTTTTCTGATTGTGAATTAAAGCAACAAAAGTGAAAATCTGGCTTACATGGGGCAGTGAAGGTAGCAGTATGTTGTCTGCAAACTGAATCTCCCCAAAAAAGAACACGGTTACATTTAAATGGCTCCTTTTCTGCCTTTCCACATTTTCATTTCTAGAGGAGGTTTCCAAAGTGTTAAGAAAGAAACCCACAGCATCTCTTAAAATAACTCTTCCGACAGACAGAAAACTGGGTAAAATGGGTCAATCAATCAGCCATCATCTGGACTTCTCATAGTAAAATCTGAGCAACCCTTTTCAACTGAAAAGGCAAAACTAGCGTTTGGGAGACTCACCTCCTAACCTGTGTTGTCGGCACTGAAATAAGAGTGGTTTAATATCTGTGTACAATGTGTATTTCAGAGCATTCTAAGCCACGTGTGGCATCTCCTAGCATTAGATGATCACTATATGTGTTTTATCTTCACAGTTCAGATGCATTAGTGTGAGTGTACGGTTATGTGGGCACTGGAGCCTCCAGGCTGTGGCGGCCCTGTCGTAGTTTGCGCTTGTTACTGTAGAGAGCCATCTCCTCTAGAGCAGATGTGGTGGCCACAGGAACTTCTGGATCTACAACAAACACTGAAAGGAGAGAGACGACAAATGTATTAAATATTACACTGTAAAGAGGAGCTGCCGTCTTTGATGCTGCACATGTAAAGCGCCCCTTCATCCACGGAAAATAAGAAATTTGCAATCTTCTAATTGACAAGTGACAGCTTTTATAAATGAGAATGCCCTGCTTTTATAGATGCTTCTATACCAGGGGTGGCCAAAGTCTGTCCTGGAGAGCCACAGTCCTGCAGAGTTTTGCTCCAACCCTAATCAAACCCTTGGTTATTAAGTTAATCAAGGTCTAAGCCAAGGGTTACTAGAAAGCTACAGGCAGGTTAGATTTATCAAGGCTGGAGCAAAACTCTGCAGGACTGTGTCCAGGATCGACGTTCCATACCACCCCCTTGTCTTTAAATGCATGTAGATTTCAGTTTAAATCCCACAAACTCCCACAAAGCAGTGATTCAGGAGAGCCATTCGGTGCATAAGCTGAAAGGCAGAGCTGCACACCATGCAGAAAAAAGCCCTGCAGAGCACTGATCACATTTGGGCACCTTCAGTACACTGTTATTGAGATTAGAAGCACACAGGTAAAAATATGTATGCACTGTACAGCAATGCCTTCTGGATTATGAGATCAATCCCTATTTTAATAGAAGTTGCAGTGACAGATCTCCTGTTAGACATACAAACAACAAGTTCACCAATTTTTCAAAATATAAAACATGCAAGCTGCAAAAATGACATGTTAGTGTTTTTACTGCCAATGCAGCAGAGAGACAGCATTTTTTGGAAATTGAAAATTGCATGACTATGCACAATAGGGATGTACAATATATTAGTACCATATCAGTTATTGGCTAATATTAAAGATTTTGAAAGAAATGTATCTTAATACATGGCTTTCTGGAATACTTGATTCTGATTTGTAAGTCTCGACATTCCAAGGTCTGATATTTACTGATATTGACTTCACTAACAACACTGTTGCCAGAATGTTTTGTACATTATAAAGGATTTATAATATACATATATTTATATATATATAAAAAGACAGTTTCATCACAAATCAATAGTTATTGTTCACATTACTTTGTAAAAAAGCCATCTAGTAAATAGTACGACTGAACATAATCTCTTAAATCTTCATCTTTTTTAAAATGTCAACCCAAATTAATATTTTATTTCTAATTATTTACTCATGTGGCAAGAAGCTATGTAATAAGCAGGATAAATGTACATCCAGCTGGTTGACAATGACAAAAACAACTGGCAAAATTATTTTGCAATAACCAGCTGGACGCAGCTGCCCTGACATATCTGTCAATATTAGATGTGTATTTTTGTAAATAGTACGACTGAACATAATCTCTTAAATCTTCATCTTTTTTAAAATGTCAACCCAAATTAATATTTTATTTCTAATTATTTACTCATGTGGCAAGAAGCTATGTAATAAGCAGGATAAATGTACATCCAGCTGGTTGACAATGACAAAAACAATTGGCAAAATTATTTTGCAATAACCAGCTGGACGCAGCTGCCCTGACATATCTGTCAATATTAGATGTGTATTTTCCCCCGGTTTTTACAATAAAATTACCATTGCCATCATCTCAAATGTAACTCCAAGTTAATCTTTGAAACAAATAATTTAATAACACTGTTAAATGTAATCTTTAGCACTCAAACAACTGAAATCTCATACAGAACTAAATACTGTAAATTTTGTGATTTTAGTTTTTAGGGTTTTACTTTTAATTTATTCAGACAGAAGTGTACAGAATTTAATACGGATCATTGTTATCAGCCATAAAATCACAATCAAATTACAATTATCAGAATTTTAATATGAGTGCATCCCTAGTTACAGTACCTATTGAGTCAGTCAATGCTGTTTCACACTACGCCAAACAGAAGATCCATTATAACACTAATGGTAATGTTATGGCAAACAGCAGCATGTGGCATCACATTCAGACTGCTAGAATTGACATGCAGTTCATGTCGTCAGGATGTGTTGCAGGTAAAATTATTTGCCAGAGATGTTAGAGAACACACCTATTTTGAAAAACTGGTAGAACTCTTATTCAAGTAACCTTGATTCTCTAAAAACAAGTTGAAGAATGAAAGCACAGAGAAACCCACTGCTCATCTGAACCTCCTGTAGATTAGAAGTTTTGGCCCATAAAACAAGTGCAGTACAGCAGGCTTCTTATAAAAAACCAAAGCATATGCGCGCGCACACACACACACACACACACACACACACACACACAGATCTCCTACCAAAATTAGAAGAGCACTTATCCAAGGAAGTCGCCTGTGTCAAGAGGACAATAACTGTAAGCCAAGTACTAGTGAACACAGCACATAAAGACCCACATGATCCACACATGAGGAGATCTTACCTGGGTTACTGGAGGCATCATCCATGAAGTGCACGTCATCACCTGCACCAGGAGACTGCAAGAGAGAGACGAGCGTGAGACGAGGAAACAGAGATCGTAAGAATTCACCAGCTCATCTCTTTCTTTCCACCAGAGTAGACAACTGAAAGAGTGAAACCTTTAGGTGTCTCCCGAGAATAGCTCTTTTTGGCTGAATTGCTGAGTGTAAATAATTATAATAATTTCTCATTCAATCTAAAAGACAAATGTAGATGACAAGATGAGGTCTTTTGAATGGCACAGAGGTTGTTTGGATCAACATGCTCTTGATATCTGAACCACAGAGCTGTTCTGGGAGACGCCTCTTCACCTTCACCTGACCAGAAAGCACTTTGTAGGGGAGCTGAGTTTAAAACAGTCCAAAAAGACACACCACTGCTGCTGACAGACTTACTGAGGCACATCTAGATTAAAATGCATCAGATTCCTGTTTCAGGTCCATAAACCCTGCAAAATGTTCTTCTGTTAGAGAGCCAGGGATGTGTTGTTACAGGATTGGCCTAATAATGCCCCAATAATTACCCACAACTAGGGTTGCAAAATTCCGGGAATTTTCAAGACTGGAAACTTTCCATGGGAATTAACAGGAATATATGGGAATTAATGGGAATAAACTGGTAATTTGCAAAATTGCAGGAACTGGGGACTTAAATGCAGTTGAGAAAATATCTTGCCGCATAATCTTGGTTAAAACAACCTGATTTAATGCAATTTCAGTTTAATTTCTACCCTACACATTGCTCAATCACATGCACACACAGCACACTGCTTACTGCAGGGCTATTGAGGCCACACCCCCTACATGCACCGTGCTTTCCTCCATAACATGAACAGATCATTTCTTAAATCCTGCACACAAAACATCAAAAGATGTAAATTACATGAATATTACAAAAAATTATGTTTAAAACTTCCTTGTGCTGTGTGTAATATACTGTGCAAGTAAAGTAGGCTATACTATTGTAAAAAAACAAATACACTGACTGAACAAACATTTAGGTGAGATAATAATGAAACAGAAGTCTAAAAATGACCCTCTCCCACACACAATCCCCTCTAGTCACCTAAGAGGGGGATTCCCCTCCATTTTCTCTGAAGCCACACTTGCTGCATTTGAGCCCAAAGATTACATCTAAGTTTTGATATTGTAAATATATTTGATCTATGGGATTCAAGTTTAACTAGTAAATACCAAAAAGTGTTTTTACAGTAGTCAGCTAGTCAGTAAAATCAAGATATGAAAAATCTAAGCAAGTTAGCACTATTTCATTGACAATGTATGAGGTATAAACTAGCTCAAGCTGTGATGCTCTTTCTGCTAGCCAGTTTTTTGTGTTCTCTCCCCACTGCTCTTCTCCCTCTACACCAATGACTGCACTTCTAAAGACCTGTCAAGCTCCTGAAGTTGGCAGACGACACTACAGTCATCGGCCTCATCCCCCAGACGAAGTTCCCATGGAAAGTTTCCACCCCTTTGCAACCCTACCCACAACACAACCTTTACTATCTTTTCACCTGATAATTTTAAGAAATGGCAGAAAATGTATAACATACCAACCTCTGCTTTTCACAAAGCCCACTTAAAACACACAACAGTCCTTCCAAACACAACACAGGCATGCTGTACAAACCTTCACCCCCACCAAGAATATGTTGCCAACAAGTTCTTTTTCATTTTTTCTTTTTCAAAGGCTCAAAAAAACCCTCTGAAAAACCCTAAGAGCAGTCAGGGTGAAGGTGCTGCTTCTTCACACATTAAGTCACATAACACAACACACAGTCAAATCATGGCAGTCTCAAAAGGCCACCAAATAACATAAGGATTCACCTGGCTTCCTGTACACTGCTTTGCTTGAATACAGTGCGCAGTAAATTAAGACTGACTAGCTGGCATTTTAAGTTTCTAACATAATCCAACAAGTCTAGGTTTTAAAGGCAATTTTTAAATGGTAACTTACACTACAGTTCAGAAGTCTGGGGTCGACAAGTTTTTTTTTATGTTTTTGAAAGAAACATTAGAATTACACTGCAAAACAGTAATAGAATTTAAAAAGCCTGTTTTCTATTTTAATATCTTTTAAAATGTAATTTATTTCTGTGGTGGTAAACCTGAAATTTCAGCATCATTACTCCAGTCTTCAGTGTCACATGATACTTCAGAAATCACTCTAATATACTGATTTGGTGCTCAAGAAACATTTCAATTTAAATGAAATTAAGATGAACAGAAAGTTACAAAGAACAGTATTTATTTGAAATAGAATGTAAAAGTCTTGGCTGTCACTTTTGATAATTTTAATGTTTCCTTGCTGAAAAAAATAAAATTAATTTCCTTAAAAATCTTACCAACTATAAACTTTTAAATAGACTGTTTGTAATACATATACTTGTAAGCTTGCTTGATGTTATTACTGCTAAAATGGAATTACATGTTTTACTCACACTTTTACACAAACAAAAAAAAACAGCAGTCAATAACTAGCAACACTGAACATTTCTGACACAGTAGTATTATGTGGCTATTGTGAGAGAAACACAAAATATCAGTTAAGTTAAAAAGTTTTGGCTGCATATCAGAGGACAAAATGCTTGAGAATGAAAATGCAAAAATATAAAAACATTACAATTGTAATTAAGGAAAATATTTAGAATATTTAAAAAAAATCCTTAAAAGACAATATGTGACCCTGGACCACAAAACCAGTCTTAAGTCGCTTGGGTATATTTGTAGCAATAGCCAAAAAAACATTGTATGGGTTAAAATTATCGATTTTTCTTTTATGCCAAAAATCATTAGGATATTAAGTAAAGATCATGTTCCATGAAGATATTTTGTAAATTTCCTACTGTAAATATATCAAAACTTAATTTTTGATTAGTAATATGCATTGCTAAGAACTTCATTTGGACAACTTTACAGGCAATTTTCTCAGTATTTAGATTTTTTTTGCACCCTCAGATTCCAGATATTCAAATAGTTGTATCTCGGCCAAATAATGTCCTATCCTAACAAACCATACATCAATGGAAAGCTTATTCATTCAGCTTTCAGATGATGTATAAATCTCAATTTCGAAAAATTGACCCTTATGACTGGTTTTGTGGTCCAGGGTCACATATAAACTCTTGATATTACTATTGTTATCTGTCACTCTGGTTACAGGCTTTATACAAGGCTGCCATGAGTTAGAGAAGAGAACTGACTTCTGTTGCCTGATCATACAGACACTATTAGACCCGTTTCTGTCTGAACAGGACAATGTGAGAGTCACAGCTGTTAGTAAAACCCCATCCATGACAAAGACATACTATTCCAGCTTAATTTATCAAGTAAATAATGCAGGTCTTAAAATCAATGGAATTAAAAAAAAGTTCTGCATTAACTATACATTCCAAAGATTTGCTGATTGCTATCATTGAAATCATCCAAATTAAGCAAAATTGATTGTCATGCGATATGCTGAAAAAATGGTAAATGCCAATTATGGATTGTGTCAGTCTCACAGATTTGGTGGTCTTTTGGTCTGGTATCAGAGGAAAAGTATTAGAACATTAACAATCATAAAAATGACTTCACCCCACATGCCCAATTTCCCTTCATACAAAGATCCAGAAACACAACCACAAAACACCAAGACCAAGAAACACAACGTTCCTTTGTTCCCATGACCCCCTGCATCCCCAGTAGAGCTGTCTCTCCCAGTGACACCACATGGAACAGCCACATTCAGCTCTTTTACTCAATTTGATAATCAAAAGAATGGCCTTCAGACATGCTGTAGGAGTCAGACCGGTTTGGCTGAATGTGTTATCAGCTGCTGTCTGAGGGTGAGTGCATGAGGCTGTACACAGAGCGGAGGGAGGGAGAGGACAAAATTTTTTTTCCTTTTGAGTGTTTTAGTGCATTAGTATGTTACCCCATGTTTTGGATCAACGCGAAGCCCATGGACCAAACTGAAAACCCCACCTCTACGCTACATCCGCATACCCAGAAGAGAAGCACATGGTATTGACAATGTAAGTAGATTAAGAACAGGAAGTGTGTTAAGCTGTGGAAATGATCCTCAGAGCCGAAAACTAAACCCAAATCGCTGCCAACTATGATCCAGAATGATGCTTAAAGCTGCAGTAACACGAATGACCATGCTGCTCACTATGGCGAGTACAGGGACCTGACAGCTCACAGTTTTGAACTAGCTATCAGAAGGGCCAGGGAGAGAAGGAGCAGGGGAGCAGGGAAAGCCAGGAGGACAGGAGTGGCTCAGAGGGATCGGGCAGGCTGGACTCCTCGACGCTTTGCATGCAGGCAATACCTGAATGTCGTAAACGGGTTTGGAAGAAGGAATGGCAGCAAATTGTCGGTAGTCAAACTTCTTTTCTGACAGGGACTAAAAGGACAGCAAACAGGCATAAGCAGTGGAGAGATGGAGAGAGAAAAAGGGGGGAAAAAAATCAATATTGCAAAAGAGAGATGGCAGGATGGATGGAGGGAAGGAAGGACAGAGGGTGAGAAGCAGAGATGTGTAAACGTAGAAGAAAAGGAGGAGAAAGGACAACAAAGAAAAGAGATAAAGGAAAATTTCATGGATGTTGCTCTATATGCTGGACATGACTATTAGAGTAAAGAATGACTTTATCATTGAAAGTAAAAAAAGGATGGTTTGACATCCTACTAAGTGAATTTGTCTCCCAAAACAACATTACTGGTGATTCAAAATGTGCTGTTTGCTTTGTACTAAATGGAAAAACGAAAGAAAAACCAATAGTCTCATACCAGTCTGCCTGGTGAAGTCACTGCCCGTGGACTGATATCTGTTTAGGAAACAAGAAATAAATTGAACACAACTGACTCTTAAAAATGACCCAGTAACATACAACAGAGTATACTCTGGCATTGTTTTACTGACAAAGGTAAATGAGATCGTCACCTTCTATTGGTGTTGGAGAGGGTGTGGGCGCAGGGGACGGCGACTCTGACAGCTGATCCAACGTGCCACGCTTCTTCCCCTCTTTAGACTTGGCAATGACCATCTGGGCCTTCAACGCATCCTGCTCTAGAGACTTCATCCTGGAGAGAGAGTGAGATACAGTGAGACACAGAGAGTGAAAGGAGAAATGCAAACGGTGCGTGGAGAGAGACAGGATGAGAGATGAAAGATAAGCAGAGGTGATGTGCACACTGATTGGTTAATACAGGAGAACAAGTTGAAAAAATGTGTGAAAGTTATGAGAGAATCACACAAACTAGAGATGCACCAATTAGCTTTCATGCTATAAAACAACCGTGAATGGTCAAGGGAGAAGAATACTATATAGGCACTACAGGAGATAATTCACCCATTATTTACTGAATCTGCATTTTTGGGTATTATTCTAACGTCGTATGAACTTCTTTCTTTTTCAGACCACAAAAAATGTGCTTGTCTAAATAATGGCAGTGATTAGTGACCAGCTTTAACAAAAAGATGCAAAAGTATCAGAGTGATCCCATACAACTCTTGTGGGTTTTGTAAAAAGACAAACCAAAATGTAATTAATGACTTAGTGAAAACCTGAACTTGGCCATTGGTTTGATGTAGACGAAGGTAGGTTTATAAGACTGTGTTAGTTCAGGGTGAGTAAATAATGACTCAATTTTCGTTTTTTTGGATGAACTATCCATTTAAGCCAGCCAAGAAAATTAGCTCTGCCAAACTTCCTTAGATTAGAGTTAGTCTCAGTATGGCGCACTCACTCCATGCAGACTTATATTGCAAACAAAAATGACACAAGTGTTCTAAAATCCCAAGCTCTAATCTTTAACAAGTACGTTATTGTGGTATAATTTCAGATTTAGCCAAACCTAAACATCACCTAAAAAAAGCTGTGTGGTTGGTTGTCTTTACCTTGCAAAGTGGACCAAACATTGCTGAAATCTCACACGCATTTAAAGTCAGTGAATATTGCTTTATTGAACTCTGCCTGCATGTGAAAAATGTCAGGTTTTAACATGCGGCACCATTTAAAAGCTTTTTATAGAAGCCCGTTTCCGCCACAGAATAAAAAAAAAGGTAATTGTGACTTTTTATCTCACAATTCTGAGATATAAACTCGCAATTCTGAGAACAGTCTTTTTCTCCCTCAGAATTGGACTTAATTTTTCACAATTGTGAGTTTATATCTCGCAAATCTGATTTTTTAAACTCGCAACTGCTGTTTATATCATTGTTTATATCATGCAAGTTTATATCATGCAAGTCAGAATTGAAAGATGTAAACTCACAATTGCGATAAAAAAGTCAGAATTTTGAGACAAAAAGTCGCAATAAAAATTTTTTTTCTTATTCACTGGTGCAAATGGGCTTCCATAGCTTCTATATAAAAGTAACCAGCATCAGTGCTTTCAATGAAGGTCTTGTTAAAGACTATAACAGGTATCAGTGCACCTCTAAATAAAACAACTGCAAGCAACTTGAATAACGACAAAAAAAAAAAAATGCATGTTATTAGGACAATGCAAGACTTTTACACAGATGAGAGGCAAAAGTGAGTGAGCAGAGAGAAAGAGGGAGTGTGCTACCAAGCTAAATAATAAATAAAATAGCACATGTGCAGAAGCAGTAGTGGGTTCTTGTAGGACACGTTCATTGTTTAGAAAAAGCCACTACAAAAATGGTTCACCCTTTACACACTATGCACTATAAAATGTCCACAAGCACCAAGCACCCCAAGCGTTGTCAAGCATCACAGCTAAGCCCCCATGATGCTTTCTGGCTGTTAAGGGCAGACCTGGGCTGACAGGAAGAGGAGGAGCAGGAAGTGGGAGGGGCTGCAGCGCTGCCTAGAGAGGCCCTCACACGGGACTGGTAGAGCCGCTTAGCCAGGTCTTGCTCATACTGCCTTACGTCCTCCTCTAGACCATAAGGCCTTGGGAGCAGTAAGAAAGTAGAGGATAGAAGATGGTAACACACAAAGAAAAGGAAAGAGACTACAGATGAAAGAAAACACTCTGAAACGGACAGTAAAGATTAAGAAGGGAAGGTCTACATTGAAACTCAGGGCCTTCAAAGACAAATCCACAATATGAGATGTGCATGTAAAAATAAAATATATATCTATGTCATGGATTCCTATATCCAAAGAATGTGGAAATGGCTTTGAAAGCCCCGTTCATCAAGGGGAAGATGAAATTTAAGTACCACAAGCGGACAGCTCTTTAGAGATCAGCATTACAGAGGAAAGGATGATACTGGAGAGAAAAACGCTCCTGATGTGATGTATTTCACGCAACACATCATTCTCTGTGGCCGTCATACCTGGCTGCTCTCCACATGGCTCTCTTCTCTGCTTCCAGGGCTCGTTTTTCAGCAGGGGATAGCTCCTTGTCCATGGCGACAGCAAGCTCCGGGCTCTGCATGCGTAATCGGTCTTGATGTCTACGCTCTGCTTTGGCCGTCCGAATGGGAGCCACAGATTCACCGGGATAAACTGGGATCAAACTGTTAAGACAAACACTGGGTCAAGCAATTCAAATATCCCAAAAAATGCAAAACTGAACAGCTTTAGGTTTCAGTGTTCCTCACCCCATCATGGAGTTGGGTCTCTGTTCCAGTCTGAAGCTGTCTTCCATTGAATTCCGCTGAGAGTCTCCTTTACTGGATTACAAAATGATAAATATTACACAACACAACTAAAGCAGCACAACTGTTTCCAACATTGCTAATAAGAAATGTTTCTTGAACAGCAAATCATATTTGAAGGATTTCTGAAGGATCATGTGACACTGAAGCAACGGCTGCTGAAAATTCATCTGTCACAGGAAAATAAAAAGCATTTCAAAATACATTAAAATTAAAGACAGTTTTAAATTTGTAATATTTTATAATATTATTGTTTTACTATATTTTTAACCAAATAAATATCTAGAGTTTTTGTGTGCTTTTAAGAGACTTATTTTATAAACATAAATTGTTCCGACCCCACTCTTTTAAATGGTAGTCTATACTTTTATATGTATTTATTTTAATAATCAAAGATATCAGAACTGGAGTTCTGGATGTTCAGAGTGTGTTTTGTAATCAAAACTTCAGCAAGCAAACAAACAAAACCCCCCACTACCATATGAAAACCACTTTGCAACTTTGAAATACTAACAAACAATTGAGCAAACGTGTAGCTCACCCTGAGCCGCCACAGTGGCTGGGAGGTGTGGCACACTGCCTCGGAGATGGGGAACTGTGGCCTCCCAAGCTCTCCACCTTGTACTCCACACCATCTAGGATAACCTTTCCGTGAACCTTCATATCTGCCACCTGCTTCGCCAGATCTTCCTCCTCATCCTCCTCATCTTCATCCAGCATATACTCTCGTGCCCTCTGTTCAATTCGTTTTGCTGAGGAAAGTAGTTTACAAACTATTTAACATGATTCAACAATGAACTCAAGCTTACTGTAGCTTAACATCAATGTTTGACAACTAAACAGACGCAAACCTTCTTCCTCTTTCATTTTCTTCAAGTCATCTTCTCCCACAAGTGAGATGCGAGGTTTGGGTTTGTCTGGTGTCTGCTGCTTCACATCAATCTCAAAATATTTCTGCCTGTCTCTGAAGGAGCGCTGCTCTGGGCTGTCTCTGCCAACAGAGGAGGGGGTCTGGGAGAGAGAGAGCGAGGATTCAGATTTCAGACCAATTGTAAAGAACACAATATAAGCAACCAAAATCGACATACACTGACATGCAAGAGCAAGTCCCGTTAATTCTGAAATTCAGATAATGATTAATAATTTGCATAAAGTTTCCAAAACTTTGCCGATCCACCACCATGATGATGAGTGCATAATATGCTGCCACTGCAAAAAGACTTTCAAATGACTGCTCTCCTGAAGCCTCTTCTCACCAATAATAATTGCTTTGATTCAGAACACCGACCGATCACGTTCCCATATTTTACCAAAACGCATGCTGCCAGATGATCGGGCTTTCTTGACATTGCGGACACACAATTTATCACGTTTCTTTGTTGCAGTTCAAAGCGACACATACACCTGCACCACCACCACTCAAGTTTAGATGAATCTGAAGAGTCAGAGTGGTTCTGCTGGAGATCAGCTGGGTACCTTCGACTCCACTGAGGGGCGAGGCAGGTGTGGCATGGCTGCCAGGCTCCTGTACTCGCGGCAGTCAGATGAGAGGGAGGGACGAGGCCTGAGAGGACCACTGCCCTCACCATCAGTCTCATCCATAAACACCTCATTATTCAGCTCAGGCTGAAAGACCCATCATGTACAGCATATCAACCCCACACTTGCAGACAATATTGCGTATTGAGTTGTGGTGAGACAGTACACACCAAACAAGGGTTATGGGTCAGGCTCATTCAAAAGTCATCATCATGTAGAGAAAAGGTTGGAATACACCACACGACTTTTCAATTCTGAACACAATATGTATCAAGCAGTGGGTAATTCACTCGTTGATTTGCTTAAAGTGTCATGAAACCCTAAAACACATTTTTTGAGATGTTAACATATATGAACAGGTTGCACATCAGTGAAAACAACTTTAGCACTCATTATGTCTACAGTACTATTAAGGTAAAAGTGGTTATTTTTATTTTTATTTTTTGGTGAAATTTCGTTCTTCCGGTTCAAAAAGCAAAGTTGAACCAACGTCACGAAAAGTGAAGTACATGGGTTCATTTGCAGTAGTGATTGGCGGCTGTGGCTGGAGAGTATGCGTCTACACCATCAGTTTTCTGAGCTTTTCTCAGTATTATTCATGAGAATGAAGTCTTACGATCCAATCACTGCACTGTATTATGCATGAGGTTGTATTACAGTGGAGAATTACAATCTCATGAAAGAGCTTGAGCTGTCAGTTCATCTCTGTAAACACGACTGTAACAATATTTAATATGTAACAAGACGTGGAGCGTTTCTGACTGGAACGCCGCAACGAGTTTAATAACACTCACTGCACGGATCGTAGTTCATATCCGGACCGGAGCAAGGGTGTTTAAAGTTTATGTGAACATATTTAATATTCTCTCGTGCTCCGAACATGAACGAGCACCGTGTCTGCGCACATAACATGTCTTCTTTAAATAAAAGACGTGCAAACAAGGGCGCTGATACAGCGGTATGTCTGATCTTGAACATGATGACACAACGGATTATTGTGATACACAGCAAATGATACAGACCGAAAATTCAAAGAGGAGTAAACAGAAAGTAACTGCCTTTATTCTTTCTGTTTTAAAGATAATTTAATATTAATTTGTCTGTATAATGAGTGTGTTGTAGGTGTGTGTTTTATTGGTTATTGTCTCCCCTCTTCCCACCCTCTACACTCCCACTTTTCCGCAGTTTTACACGCCCATTTCTGGAGGCTTTTTCAGATCTAAGGTGTGAAAGACCAGTGCTGAAACAGGGGTTTCATGACACTTTAAAGCCTACTTTGTGATTCTGTTGGCAAACATGCTTATAGTGCATTATATTCAGCGTGTTTATTGCTAGCGCAGCAAAAATAGACAGCGAAGCCTTCACAAGTAATGCAAGTACAGTGTATCTGGTTGCCATGGCAACCTCATGCGCTTGCTGCTGCTCTTTGTAATCACATTAAAACTACTTAAATGGTACACGGTAGGGATATGCCGGTATCAAATTTTCATGTTGCGATTAATTGCTAATGCTTTTATTACGGTATACGGTATTATCACGGTATTGCAATTAAGTTAAAAAAAGTGGTCATAATACAGTATATAACAGGTTTAATAACTTTTTTCTTATACCACGACAGCAAACAAGCTCCCAAAGGAACAAAATGTCCAACGGGAAGACCAAGCACTGGATGACGGGGGAACCACGACATGCTCACAACCTTGATGAGCATTTGTCCTACCTGTGGGGGTTCCAGTACAGCCAGGGAGTGTGGCACAGCTGCGAAGGCCTTATATACCTGCTTGATATTGATGGGGTATTCCTCATGTGTGTCAGGGGATGGGGCACTAGGCTGTATGAGGGGTCGGGGAGGTTGAGGACAGAGGGGTGGAAGGGTAGAGAAACAGACAAAGGACAAAAAGGATGGAACAGCTAATGAGAGACAGAGCAGCAAAGGCAGAGCACAGGAGGAAAATGCAGGGCTAGACCACATGCAGCCCGCGATCGTGATCATGTCAATGAAAGGATGGAGGGAGAGGAGAGTTTGATAGTATGAGGGAGGTCTGTGGTTATGGTGACGACTCGGGGCAATATTTTGGTTTACACTGGTATCCTGAGATAATGTGAGTGTAAACCTTGCTGTGCAAACAATGTGGTTTATGTGATTAGGGGAAGAAAAAAAATCCAAAAGAGGCGTCTTTTGATAAAAAACAGGCACAATGTTACTTGCAGTGAGAAGTTGATAAGTCTTTGATTTTTTAAACAACCCGTTTCTTTGACCTGGATTATGGTGTGACTGTTTGTAAGGCTTAACAGGCACAATTGGAATGCATATGGAGAAAATAAAACAACAGTGGCATTCTGTTGGTCTTTAGGCATTGGTAACTGAGGATGAAAGGGGGCCTCATTAGGGTTCAGACAGTGGTGAGGGATCTTACAGTGGTCTGAGAGTTGATGGGAGAGAGGCCATGCTGGAAAGGGTTGGGACTGGTGTGGCCATCCTGACTGGCTGGAGACACAGCGGGTCGCACCCGAGGGAGAGGCTGGATGGCACCAGGTTTAGTCTAGAAAGAGAGAGAAATAAAATTGACAATAAATCCAGCAATCAACCACAAATTTACGCAATGTTTCCAACATAATATGGCTATTAATGTTATTCGCATCAATATTATCAGGAACTTGCTCTAGGATAATTTACAAGTTAAATCTGCATATTGGACACTCACTGATGAATTATCCTTGGTGTTTGCATTTGAAGGGAAATGAATGTTTGACTGAAACAAAAAAGAGAAATATGAACATGATATAAAAATTAAGAGGACAAAAAAAATGTTCACATGGGATTAGCTTTCTCAAGTCAAGTAACTGCCTGAGAGTTATTATATTCATAATATAATTATATTCATAGCTCATATTAAATTATATTAGCGTTCAAAAGTTTGGGGTCAGTAAGATTTTTTTTTAAAGAAATTAATAATTGTATTCAGCAAAGATGTATTAAATTGATCCAAAGTTACAGTAAAGACTGTCATTTACTTAAACTTTCTATTCAAAGGATCCTGGGGGAAAAAACTCAGTTTCCACAAAAATAATTTTCAATTATGATTTCTGAAGGATCATGTGACACTGAAGACTGGAATAATGTCTGCTGAAAGTTCAGCTTTGTCATCACAGAAATAAATTACACTTGAAAATACATTGAAAAAGAAAACAGTTAATTGTAATAATATTTCACAATATTACAGATTTTTCTGTATTTTTGATCAAACGTATGTAGTCTTGGTGAGCATGCGAGACAAAAACCTACTGACCCCAAACCTTTGAACAGTAGTGTATATAATGTTATATACACTTCATATGATTCACAAGGCCTTCATACACAGTGTTAATTTACCAGGCTGTAGTTACACACTCAATTGCTTGGTTTGGTGGAAATCCTAAATAAGAGTCAAGCATTTCACTACTGCAGAGAGCATGAAAAGCAGGACATGCTCAGAGTTACACTGGCCCGTATTCCATTCGGCTCTTAACATCTAATGCAAAGCCAAGTGCAGCTGGTGCAGGCCATACAAGGGCTAGTCAGCCCACTTACATATCGAACCTCCCTTCCAAGCATCACAGAGGAAGATTTGTGGGACTTCTGAGAAATATGGAAATGTCATGACGAGGGGCGGAATGAAAGCACAGGCCATCAACCAGAACACTACCTTAATGAACATGTAAACAAGGCCTGCCTTTGACCATGCAAAACACCAGCATAAATCTGTACAGGCTTATCCATGGTACTGTTTGACAGTCACATGAAAACAAATGAGAAAAGAAAGGGATGATGATGAAAAGGGAGTGAATACGCTCTGAAATGGTACTGACCTGTGAGTTCTGTGGAGAGTGTGCAGCATCTCGGACAGGACTGTCAATCCCGTGAGGCTCAGACGGTGAAGACTGAAATACAAATAAAAGGAACATCCATCACAACATGTCACGAGAACAGGAGAAGGAAAGAAATTGCTTGAGGTCAGTGAAGTATTTCACAAAGCAAGATGAGGCCTGCTGTTTCCAATAAGCAAAATTGGCCAAATTACAAAGTAGTGCATTAAGAATAAACAATCATGTGCAATTTTATAAAAGCAGTTCATCTTGATTTGAGAATAACATTAATAGCAAACCATAAACAACTGCCATAAGCAGCTTATAATATGCTTGCACATTGCAGTTGTTCTATTTCTTGCTCTTATGATGTGATTGATGACAAATGTGTTGTATTACGTGCCACAGATAATTTGAAATCAAGCAGTGGTGCCATAAAATGCATTTGTTCAAACAGTGTCAAGAACAATGTCATGCTACAGAAAGAGACAATGTCTCAAATTTTACTTTAGAGACCATGGTGTTTTATATTCCTGGAAATGGTTGGTGGCCAGTCTGTATTTAAGGTGAGAGGCCTTTACTTCACCCTTTTTGTTTAACACCTGTTGACTTCACATTCAAAGCATTCTCAGTCTCTCTGGGAATGTTCAAATGCCTCAAGACCATAAGGTTGCACACATTACAGGGTCCCATTTTTGTATCCGCTTCATTTTCAGCTTCAGCCATTTTCTAAATATAGGAAATGTGTATATAGACATGTATATTTCAATGAATTGACGTTTTCAAAGACATCTGGAAATCTAAAGCAGCTATCAGTAGAAATCTTTGGATGATATTTGAGATTGAAGTGCTATGTTAACTCTAAATAGCTACTGATGACACAACCATGCTAGACCAGAAAACACACTCAGTCAGAAAACACACTCCACAAGGCTGCTTGCCTTGCTGTACAAGCAGGGCTGCAGCTGCCCATGCCTGCCATAACCCACAGGTGGCCCTGATAAAATGCGCTCCTCAGGAGGGCAGCCTTTGCTCTTGCGATTAGCCACAAGGAAGGGATTTTCACTAAAGCAGATTGGCTGGGAGTCCACAAGACATTCTTCTTCCTCTTTAGCTTCTTGTGGGACTCCTGGAGCTGGGAGGGGGTCCCATGTGTCGGCTTGGGGAGGTTTTGAAGCCGCTGAACTTGCGGCTGGGCAGACTGGAGACGAAGGGAGGGCAACGGGTTCTACATGGTACATAGAAGCATGGACTTTCTCAAAACCCAGGGGGTTTACAGGGACGGCCGGCATGGCAGCCTCCATTGTGAAGAATGTAGCAAAGGAGGGAGAAAACTGAGGAATGAGAGAGAGAATATGTTCGACAGACAAAAGGGAGAATTAATGTGAGATGGAAACAAAAACAAATAAAAGAGCAGAACAACTAATGATTAGTGGTCGACCGATATTGTTTTTTTGACAGCTGATGCCGATGCCAATAAAAGCAATCGTTATGATACTTTTTGTAAACATTAATTCCTTTGTTTAACCATTCTATCTGATTATTAGACAGACTTCTATCCGTATTAGACAGAACTGTTAACAACGACAGTAAACAAGAGGGAGAATGTGAGCACTGTGTGTTATCAAAATAAATGTCCCGCCTCGAACACATCGGCAAAACAGAAAAACTTATCGGTCTATCTACTTATCGGATATATCGGTCGACCACTACTAATGATATACAAAAGGAGGAAGAAAATGACATGGCATCACACAAAAAGATTAGAACACAGCAAATGTAAAAGCAAAGAAAGGAAAAGCAGTACAGAATGAAACAGATGGGTTTAGTCTGGCAGAGTTGGAAGAAATAACAGCCGATTCAGATGAGTGAGGAGCTAAATACAGCTTATCCCATCATGCTGAGACATCTCACAGTAGACAGTCACTCAATCCAGAAGAACATTCGCACTGAATCTGCTGTGAGTGCTCTAATGTAGACTTTGCTTTTATACTTTGAGTTTTAATTTTAGTTTTCGTAATTTAGTGTTTGCTTTTTAAATATATATTCTTTTAATATTATATTTTTATTTCAGGTTTAGTTTATGATATGTAAGTACCTAAATGTATTTCAGTTAGTTGCCAAAGCAACATTTCTTTCTTGATTTAGGTTTGTTAATCTAATATTTATACATTTTATTTCAGCTTTATTCAAATTAGCAAAAATTATTTAATAGTTTTAGTTAACAATAACACTACTCTTTTAGTGTTGACAGTTACTACATTTTGCTTTAGTAGGGACTAGGGAGGTATTTACACTTTAAAATATTATTCAACATGCTTTACATACAACCTAATAGAAACCACATGAAGTAGTTTTTAGCAGTGCATGTAACAAACACTTCCGAGTGAGCCCTTACCACAATACACAAACATTTCCTTAACTGTCATTACTATTAGAGATGCAATTTTACAAAGTGTTATGAAACTGTACACTGGATTCTCATCACAGTAAAAAACAAACAAACAATTCAGGTGCAATTGGTGGCACATTGTGATGCTTAAGATGTTACTGTCGCACACAACTAATGGCCTCATACTGATAAAAGCTTCATTCAATGGCTCTTGTGCAGATAAAAGACACTGCTCTGATCTGATCTATAAATAGCCATGACTAAACCGTACTTCATATACCACAAAATCACGTGAGGGAGAAAACCGTGTGCTAGTGTTTCCCTATCTAAGAGCAGTCCACCCCCTCTCCATTCCTCACTTGACATTGCAAACAGCTGCTAGTGCTATGTAGGTTAAACATTTCTAGAAGAGAGACAGAGGCTAAAAATGCTTACAAGGGACAAGGAATATCTTGTAGTTTGTAAAAACAAGTTCTAAAGCTCATATTACAACTGTTACATGTTAAAACATTTACTGAATATCACTGATTGATTGAGTAACTACTGACATTCAATGTCCAACAACTAATGGCTATTGCGATTATTACAGTAATCAAATCTAATACCTAAATAAAATGTAACAAGTTTCACTCACACACACACACACAAAAAAAAAAACATTCAGAAAAAGAAAAAAAGGAAAAATTAGTAAGTCAAGGAGGTATGAGTGCTGAAGAAATGACAGAAAAAAATGAGAGTTGTAGAGTAATAGCAGTGATACACTCACAGTAAGATGACCGGAGCAGATTCCAAGCGGCTCGACTCTAGATAACTTAACTGTCAAGATCCTCCAAGGGTCCCTTCATCCTCAAAGGCCACACCCACCCATTAAACCATTCAGCCAATCAGCTCACAGCACACATTTTAAAATAACTTGAGCTACTGTCAGCTGTCGGCCAGCACCTCCCCCTCACTCCAGCTCAAGCACCAGCAAATACAATCTGTATTCTGTCAGAGGTATGGCTGGAATGACATCCAGCCCTGCTGCTGCTGAAGACTAAAGCCAGCAGCTGGACTGCTTCACCTTTGGCACTACTAGTACAAGCAGCACTACTGGACAAACGTATAGCTTGACCTGATAAGAGTTTTAGAAGACCAATATGCTAAGCAGTCAAAAGCAATTAAGGAAACATTTCTGCAAGTTACGTTTACTTACTCTATTAACTTTCTGTAGGCTAGTGGTAGGTAGAGCCGCCAGTGTCTTGTAGTCCAGTTTCAGTGGTCCAGTGCTCAAATTCTGTAGAGAGAGGGTTAGAAAGAGCACAATGAATGATCACTGTTCACTAAAAGAACATGTTCAAAAATCTTCTAAACATTAATTAGATATTTCATTAAGCATGAGGACACTGATCCTAAAGAGCTTCTAGAGCTCAGATGTGACTCATTTGTTCATGTTCAAGGTGACGGCAGGTCCTGTGGTTCTCTCCTGGAGCCCTAATGTGGGCTGTAAAGACAGGTAGGGCATACAGCCTCACCTCAGTTTCCTCCTCCAGCAAACGAGTTGCCTCCTCGCGCTCCAAGCGCATACGCTCCTTTACCGAAAGAGGGAAGCCAAGGAGGGGGTGGGGGGATAAAGTTTACCCAATCACACATATACACAGACACACATTTTGCCCACACAAATATGGACACACACACACACACACACACACACACAACATCCATTGCACAGATGGGAATGAGGTTTAGGTGATGCAGAATCGTGGATGAATAATAAAACCAGGGACCATGAAGACACAAGAACATATTTAATGAAGGAGATGAATAGAAATGAGCAGAAACAAAATGTGATGTTTGGAATGAGCAGCACCCATGATCATTCAGAAGGATTTCGGGGAAAAGAGGGGCATAAGATAAGAGAAAGAGAGAAAGAAAAGGACAGATCCACATATATTAGTTGCAGTTATAGGAAAGATTTGGAAGTGGTCATCATTTTGATAGCTTATTATTATTATTACAGTATGTTATAAGAAAGGTGTTTAGGGGAGGAAATCACTCACCACTTTTTCCATCTCCTCCCGTTCCCACTGGGACGTCTCTCTCACCATCTCTACCTCCTGCAGGAAAGGTCAGACAGACAGATGTTATTTTTCCCATCCACTCCTCTGCTGTTCCTGCTCTGTGTGATGCATAGAGCTCACCTTCTGCATGATGTCAATCTCTTCCGGACTCAGGTCTCTGTCTACTGATGAGATGCTCTCCATACTGTTCTTACGAACAATACCTGCCGCAAACGGGTTTGCAATAACACCAGGCGATGCCTGAAAGAAATAACAAATAAATATGCAAAATATGTAGTAGTTGTTTGTTGATTTTCAAATATAAAACTTATTGAAATGTTTTCAGTGTGTGTATCAGTTCTTTTTGAACATTTTCATCTAATTTTAACAAAACCGTGATAGTATTGATAACCGTGATAACTTTGGTCACTATAATCGTGATATGAAATTTTCATAGCGTTACATCCCTAAGTAGTACATACATGCATGCATGCATATTAGAATGATTTATAAGGGATCGAATGACACCAAAGACTGGAATAATGGCTGCTGAAAATTCACAATACTACTGTTTTTACTGTAATTGCAATCAAAAAAATGCAGTCGTAGTAATAATAAGAGACTTCTTTCAAAATCCTAACTATTCCAAACTTCTGGCCGGTAGTGCCAATACATAATTTATTACATCTATAATAATTTAAGTCACAGTTGGACATCAGAGCAGATCTCATGTCCTCCTGAGCTGTATAACTAGGTCTTTACCTCGATGCCTGCAGCGTTTCGTGGGTCAAAGCCATCACACACAAGCATGACTAGGGAGTCACCGGAAGCACGCAAGACCCTCACTGCTTCCGTGTGTGTCATACCCAGAAGACTGTTGTTGCCCACCTCAAGAATACGCATGCCTAGTCGCAGTCGGCCATCTCGTGCAGCAGCTCCGCTGGAGCTCACCTACAGCATGGAGTAAGAGAAAAAAAATCAAGGACTTAAATGACTGATGTTGTGAGGAAGTAGTGAAGTAGGTAACTAGACCCGTATTTTTTATGTTATCAGAATCCTGCAGGGTTTGTGTCTTATATCATTGTATTGGTTACCTTGGAAATGAAGATGCCCTCATCTGTGGGGTCAAAGGGGTTGCCTGCATGGCCTTTAGCTCCACCCCTGATGCTGATGCCCAGCTTTTCTCCAGGCTGCTTGTGAATGACAATCTCCTACAAAATCACAGGGATGTTTTAGAGGGTATTTGAGGATGTTCTGGTCTCATTAAAAGTCTCAAAAGTATTTGAGATTGAGATCATTACCAATCAAAAGTTTTTTAGGTCATTAGCATAAGTATTTGTACGAGTGTCTTTCTCACTGCAGGCCATTTTGGCGGATTTTCAGGAAAAGACCAAATGTGATATTTATTAGATCTGACTGAGCTGGCGGTAACCAGCCATACTGCAGGTTTTGCTTACACTTCTCCTCTACTAATCAGAGTGTGTATACCTGCATGCCAGGGGGCGAGGGATCTCTGCGCACAAGCATGCGGATCTCCTGCTTGTTGGAGAGCAGGGCTCTGACAGCTTCCTGATGTGTGGCATGTCGTAGGTCGATGGTGTTCACCTCCAAGATACGATCGCCCACGCGAAGTCCACTCTGAGAGGCCAAGCCATTGGGGATGACCTACCCAGAAACAAAAAGGTCAGAAATCAATTCGGACAAAAGCGTCACAGAACACAAATCATGCCATTCATTTTTGACATAAACCTGCATCATACAACATTATTTATTTTACCTTTGAGATGAACACTCCTGGCTCATTAATTCCAAACGGGTGGCTGGCATGATCACTACCCCCTACAATGCTCAGACCCAGGGGACCACCTGCTTTGATCAGCGTCACTTCCTGTCCAGACAGGAAATTCAGATGTATGAAAAAGGAGCACTGATTTTGCAGTAGATCTGATAAATGCAGTGGTAAAAAATCTGTGAAATTAATAAATAATTATATATATATTAGGGCTGCCCCCTAATAGTCGACTAATCGTTAGTCGACCAGAAGAGGCTTGGTGGACCAAAATGTTATTTATTCGCTTAGTCGCAGAAAAAGAAGAAGAAAAAAAAAAAACTCCACAGGCGAAGTCACGCAGTCCGTGACTAACAGATCGTTAACGGCTAGTCTTTGGTGATACAGTACATCTGAAATATGTAAGTATTAGCAACTTTACATGGCCACTCAATCTGATGTTATCCTAGATACTCCCTCATATACTCATATAATCCCTCAATACTCCCTCATTTCTGGTCATACAGATAAAAGTAATACATCTTTCGAATCTGTGAAGACTCTACGTTTATTTGTGTGCACTCACAATACCGTGCTTTTGTAAAATAATGAAAACAAACACGATGCACTTTCTGCCGTCTCGGTCTCTGTGAACTTGAGCACGAAACTCTGTGTATACTTGCCGTACAGAGAAATTAAAAATGTATAGAGTGAAATGTCTACTTTCAAATGAACCAATTCAAATGGAAAACAAATTCTCAGATTATGTAATCCGTATGAAACATGCATACAGG